AGACGGATCACTGGCAGGTTCAAGAAGAGTGTCTCTCCAATGAAGGATTTATTAAGGGGGGGCGGGAAAGAGGGTCTGGAGAACCTTTCTTAATGAAGAGGCACCTCACACCCTTCCCTCTGTAACTTTCTGCAGAACCCAAGACCAGGGAGCGGCTGGGGAGAGAGGTGGACTGTGACTCATGGTTGGGTCCAGGTCCCCAGTCTGAGGGACACTCTTTTCCATTTGGTGATAGACAATGCAGATCCAGGCAATCATCAGCTATCTTTAACCACATTCAGGAATCAGAAAAAAGAAGGTGGCTTGAAGGCTTCCCTCCTTACTCCAAAATGAAAAATCTTAAGCATGCCCCAAAAACCCTCATAACTTGAGAACATACTGGGGACTACCGGGTCTCCTAAGCCAACACAGATAAAACCGTTTCTCCAAAATAGCAGATTTTTGAGAAACTGGTGCTTTCTCATCTTTTTACTCTTCAGAGTGAGTTTTACAGGCAGAGCCATGGGAAGCACTTCTTTGAGGTTCTACTGTGAGGAGAGAGGGCTGCAGGAGGGGCATGGAGACAAGGGCTGCAGTTAGCAGGGTAGGCTGGAGTCCTGACTGGCGTGTTTGGCCTCAGGAGGGTCCTCTGGCAGGCTCCACAGACGGGTTTGGTTTTTAAAAGTGCCAGAGAACCACAGATTTGCATGTTATTTGCGTTCCAGGCTTCACTTCCAGGTATGTGGAATGAAATAAATGAATGAACAGTATTCAGACTCCTGGGTAAGGGGTGGATTCAGAAATCCAGACCACACTGAGGATCCAATCACTGGTCCAGCTTGGATCAGGAGACACAGACACAGACAGAGACAGAACAAACAGATACAGAGACAGGGAGACAGTCTTAGAGAGACAAACACCATCAAGTCCTTTTTACCAAGGAGTTTCCAATCAAAGCAAGGAAGCAACATCCAGAGTTTATTTTAAATAAATCAACTTTTAAAAAACTAGGGAAAGTCACATATAGATAGGCAGATAAAGGCAACATTATCCCTGACTTATCTCCACCTCTGCCCCTCCATCCTCCACTTCTAGCTTCATTCTGAACCACGTGCCCTACGAGTCTGCCTTCTTGATAAGCTACATCGCTTGGTGTCTGCTTAGCCTCCCAAATTAGTTAACTATAACATCTACGGACTATAAGACCCTGAGGACAAGGTGGCTTTTATTTCCTTGGTCAAACCATCTCTTCATTCCACCCTTCAGGGCCCCACACCCAGTGCTTAAACACATGCTTATTAAACACCTAGCATAAGGGGTTCCCTAGAAGTAAGGGACCCAGAGTCTCAAGCTGTGAGGGATATAAAGTATCACTGGAAAGAAAAAGGTTGGAGGTAACTGTATTTGACAGAAAGATGTATGGTTAAATACTTTGATAAACCCTGTAACAAGAGACTGACATTCCCCAAAGGGCACGCTGAACTGCTGAGGAAGGTGTTTTTGTTAAGGGCAGGGTGGGGCATTAGGTTTGCGGCCAGAGGTGAACTGTTTGGGACCACCAAGGAGATTGCAGGCTGCCATGAGCAGTCTTCCTTCCTCCTACCTCTGCACGTTGTCTTTCTAAATAAATGTTCAATACAGTTCTTACCCCTACCTCATCCCTGGCAGGCCAGAAAGAAACAGCCTGTGCTCCTGGTTTGAAAAAAAGCACTTAATCATTCACCTGCCCTCAGCAGCCACATGTCTCTCAGTCCACTCTTGATGTAAAAGACAGATTATAATACAAATGCCACTTGGAATTCTATTATTTTCTGGTTATAAGCGCTACAAATGTCCAGATAAGAGATTTTAAGATAATGTGATCAGGGAAGGCTTCAAAGACATGGGATTTGGGTGTGTATGCTCAGTAGATACTTGTGAGAGGAACAAAATTACAGTAAATTGAATGAGGAGTACCCAGGAGACTGGACTCTAGGCTTCTTGTAAGCCACTCTCTCACACTCTTTCCTTTCCTTGCTAGCACTTGTGCTCTGTGCAGGGTAGGACCATCTCCGGAAGTAATTGATGGCTGCTCCTCAGGTTAGAATGGAGAAAAGTCTGCAGCAAGGGTCTGTTGCATTTGGACAAGATTCTGACGTAGGCCTTAACTCTAAAACCAAGCCAGTGTTAACACTGGCTTTAAACTTTAACTGTGAATCTCTGCCTTGCTGATCCCTATTCCCAGCGGCATATGGCGTTTGATAACATTCCAGAATCTTAGAGTTTAACAAGACCATGGACATCCAGTCCAATCATTCACACAATTACAATTATCCCTGCCATCTCCCCGACAGGACAGAGAGACAGCATGCACTAACATTTCCTCAAGGTTTATTTCAGCTCCTAGTTTCTCTTTTCTCTCCCACAAGGGATACGTGTGTAAGTTCTCCCTTATTTTAATGGGTGACCAGCATGATCTTCTACCCTTATCTTCCTCTCCACCTCCAAAGCTGGGAATGGTAGTTATGTGTTCTTAATAGATAGATCTTAGGATTCAGCACAGGTAAAATGAGGCCCAAGACTGTAAGGAAGGATGCTGGGCTGAGCCTCACTTGTCTCTTCCCAAATTGCAGGATGAATGTGCAGCTGTGGTTACATTGCTCCTGGGCAGGGAAGTATGGCACCTTTCTCAGAAGCTCAGCATGTAGCCTGTTTAACAATAGGGTCTAATAGCCTCTTTTTCTGATTCTCTTGGGTATGTGAACTTCCAGGACAAAAGCGTCATATTCCACCTCCTGTTGCCCATCCAGGTGGAACAAAGGAAAAGACAAACCATAGGTGTCAGTCTCTCTTACTACGGCAAGACAAATTTAAGAGCTAGGGGATGGCACAGAAGGATCGGAGACTAAAACATTAAAAACATTGGGGCTCTTAAATGAACATTCCCCCTTCTCTACTCACTGGAGCCTTTTTTGGGCCATGTAAAACCGGGCAGCAACAGACAGGATGGGATTAGTGGAAGCGCTTTTCCAAGTTATCTGTGTTTCTACCCCAAGACCACTAAAATGTAGGTTAACACTGCTGGGGGCAGTGTGTAGAAGATGCTAGTATGATTATAGTGGCTAAAAATGAGAGAAGTTGACACCACATAGAAGCATGAAGCACCCCAAATGGAAAGGAGTCAATTTACAGTCTCCAGGCTGGATGAGGAGAAAGTCCTCGTACATTCAACCCTGAAAAGGACTCCTGGAAGCAACAGTGGGGCCCAGGGAATAAATGGGATGTAATTAGCCTCTGTGCCTCAGACCAGATTGTTCTCGAATAGGCAGGAACAATCTATCTGACATTCTCTGTACAGGGTCCAGGAGTGATTGTTGGTTCTGTGGTTTCTGTTCTAGTTTCTATATCTGGCATCTGGTGCTTATAATCCCTCGAGTATTCCTTTTTTGGGGAGGTAGGTTATTATGAGCACTGAACAAAGGAGAAAGGGGAAGATGGGAGAAAAGGAAAGCAATAGGCTTATTCAGTTTAAAGCAGGTTAAATAAGATATTGGTAACGTGCTCTTGGGCCATGAAATGCAGAAACATCTTTTTTCTTTCCTGGTCATCAAAGCCTACCCTTAAATGAAGATAAAAGTTTCTAGATACTAGTCTTGCTCTTGTCGGCTAGCTCTCTAGAAATAATGGCACACTAAATAAGTCTGTATGTGGTTCCCATCAAGCCCCACCCTGGGACACAACCTATCTCTCAGCTTGGTCTACTCCTACCAGGTCTGCGATGGTAAGGTGGTCTCGGGATCACTAACTTCTACCTTCTGCACTGGTCAGAAAGGGGGGCCACGTTCAGACAGGCTCAACAATTCCTTATATATTTTTCAAAGTGCTTTTGTTGCATGTTTCATTTTCTGCTATACATGGCAATAAATATTTGTTGCTTTGGTCTGTACAAAAAGTCTATGAGGAAGGTAAGACAGGTGTTACCTAAATGGAAAAACAATAAATACAGAGAACTGTCTTGTCTGAGTCCCCCAGACAATGGTGAAAGAACCTGAAAAACTCAGGTCTTCTGATTCATAGTCTAAATATACACCATATTGCCACCTCTCAAGTTGTCACTTAAATACAGAAAGTACCAAGAATTAGACAATACTCCAGGAGTCCTGCAATGAGTCTTGCATGCTACAGCTTTCTAAAAGAGAATGTGAAAGTCCCCAGCAACCCATATATAGAAAGCTATTTATTTCTTACAGAAAATATCAAAAAAATTGAGAGAGAAAGAAAAAGAAAAAAAAAAAAAGGAAGGAAGGAAGGGAAGGAGAGAAAGAGAAAGAAAGGAAAACACACATAGAAGGTAGTCTTCCCCCAAAAGGCAGGCAGTTATGAAAAAGGCAGGACATCTAGTTGCTGGAGTGGAAACAGTAACATTCAGTTAACAATGGAATATTTAAAAAAAATAGTTTTCTTTTCAAATTGTAACTTGTGGTAAAACATAGAAAAATGTACTAAACAAGCTTGGTATAAAACAGAGTAAAATTTTCAAATAAGCCCAAGGAAAAGCACAATGCTGGAAAGAATGGGGTACAAGGGGAGAGGAGAAAAAGATTTCATACAAAACTACCTATAACAATACAGAAAAAAGTATAAAATGTTCCTATTTTGGAACTTAAGTACAAAATGACACTAGCATTGGATCATTTCACTATCTAAGCCTGAGGAGCTCTCAGAGGGTGGGGGGAGATGCTAGAAAGAACAAAAGGAACAGCAGTTTTTAAATCTCAAGTTGATCAGTCCAAACTCCACCCGTTTTTCAGCTGAAAATCTCACCTCCCTCTGTAACCTCTATCCCTAAGCCAAAGTTCATCCAGGCCTCAAAATATTCCATTAGGAAGTCCACAAACACCCTACACATAGGGGCTGGGATCTGTGTGTGTTGGAATCTGGAAAATGGAAATAAATCTACAGGCTAAATGGTGAACACATTCAGTCTTTTTAAAAAAAGCATATCCCTGTGAAATATATGTGTGTGTGTGCGTGTGTGTGTGTGCACGTGTGTATGAAATTTTCTGTGGTTAGAAACATATTTAAACTAACTAGCCACAGACCAAACTAGACCTGCATTCCTCCAACACTGAATTCTATGCTAAAGACTGAGGTCCTTCTTCTTGGTCAGAAGTAGGTGGCAGTAAAAGTGGTGCTCTGTCGCTCCACTGGACCGCTCCCTGGGTGGGTCTGCCCCATGACATGTGCTGTTAGCACATGCAAACCCCTGCTCTGAAGGAAAGGACTGCTTGGGACTTTGGGGTCCATCCAGGGCTCATGTGCTGTGACTCAGGATGAGATGAAGCTACAGATGATAAACAGCCTTGTGTAGAAGCAGATGGATTTCATATAGGGACATATGAATAGGAAAAGTCCTGGAGGCAGGACTTATGCATGTGCCCCAAAGTCCAGTTTACAGTCACATTCCTGACTACACATCTTGAAAATCATGTGTGTAATGTGCACATATATGCTGGTGGTTTTTATCCCTACCTTTTGCCCATGCCCTTTCCTACTTCTTAGTAAGGCCTAACAACAAGAGTTTACATGAAACCAAAATTCTTTCCAAGCTTTTCTCAGTCCCCTAAGCAGGGACTGAGTGAGGCTGGAGCCCTTTGAAAACGAGATGGCAGAACTGAAGAAGTGAAAAGCAGTCTCTCTCTTCAGCTTAGGGATGTCCCTCACCCCTTTCACAGCACCAAAGTTTCTTTGCAAAAATAGTATCTGAGATACAAAAGGAAAGGCAGATGTGCTTGTGAATGCATCTCGCCAGGGACTGGTCCAGGATCAAGGGCTTTACAAGAACAGAGGGTTGGGAGCTGCTGTTTCCAAGGTCTCTGGCTGTAGACAACAAAGAGCTGGTCCCCCACACGGTCAGGGTCTGCTAACTGAGACAGTCTTCACAAGAGCTTTCGGTGGAGGATCTCCCAGACCATCCGCTTCCGGAAGTATGGCATGTGTTGCTGTAGAGACAGAGATACCCTTAATTTTCATTTCTTTTATCTAGACCTAATACTTCTTTTCCCATATTCCTTTCCCCATACTCTTTTCCTTCTCAAGGTTTTCAACTAACATAGTCTCAGCTGCATTCCTGGTCTTTCAAATTGTTCATTCTTGATTACATGTGGTACTTTTCTTTCCGTTGCTTTTTCTACTGCTATTTCTATTGCTATTTTCCATTGCTGTAGCCTTACAATGTATATCGGCCATCTCCAGGAGTCCCAAGGCTATGCTCAAATGTCTCCAAGAATTTTGAGAATGGTGTCTATCAAGTCCTCTTATGTTGAACTTCTAAGAGGATATGAAACCGAGGCCTAAAAATAAAAACTCATTTTTTAGGGGAATAGTTAAGGGAACTTCAAGAGTCAGCTCAGTCTGGTCTAGAAAAAAGGCTTTGGTAGAAAAATCTGGTAAAGCCATTGATTTAAATAGAAGTAAGAGTTAAATGGAGGCCAGATGCAGTGGCTCATGCCTGTAATGTAATCCTAGTGCTTTGGGAGGCTGAGGCAGGAGGATCACTTGAGGCTAGGAGGTCAAGACCAGCCTGGACAACATAGCAAGACCCCATCTCCACAAAAATTAGCCAGGCAGGATGGCATATGCTTATGGTCCTAGCTACTCAGGAGGCTGAGGTGGGAAGATCACTTGAGCTTGGGAGGTTATAGTGAGCTACAATCATACCACTGCACTCTAACCTGGGCAACAGAGCGAGACCCTGTCTCTTAAAAAAAAAAAAAAAAAAGAGTTAAGTGGCAAACATATCAGGGTAAGCCATAATCTGGATACCTACTCGGTCTCAATCCACCTCAGTCCCTGAAGGACCACATTGACAGAAATGTCCAATCATACACTAAGAGAAGACTGACCAGCTATATCAAGTGATGATGCAGGGGAGGGGGCAGCATAACAACTACACTAGGAGATCAAAGTATGGCCTGTCCCAAAACCTGATTGCTAACTAAACACAAGAAACCCTAAGAAAACTTGCTCTGATCCCAGTTCTCTGTTTCTTCTAGGATTTGAGGTAGGTGGGGGACATGAGTAGAGAAGGTTCTGCTCTTGACCAGGATTCCTTTGCTACAATAAGTGATGTACTGTACCCTAGGATGGGGCCTATCATTATCTTTCTTTCCTTCGTGATGTGGCTCAGGCAGTAACCACCAGTGTTATGAGTCATAGGCTGATACATACTACAGGTCAGGGCAGAAGCCCCTAAGAAGAGTAAATGGAAGAAAAACATCTACAGGGCAGCTTGAAGACAGGGTGATCTTAGAGCTCCCTCCTGAAGGCTCAGCTCACCTGCGTGAAGTTGATTGGTCTGTCTTTGGTTATACAGTCAGCATATTTGCAGGCAAACATTCCACAGTCACTTCCATTCATCTGTTGTGGAATTTCCTGAAAGAGCAACACCAGCAACAAAAAGGCAATATCTTTCTAAGCGTCTTTCCTTCTGAGATTAAAAATAAGAACCAAAGGATATAAATTTTCACAGGTTTCCCTGAATTTTGAACAGAGGACCTTGGTCCACTCAGGACAACAGAGGCTCAAAGAAAAATAATACAGCATTTCAGTATTTCATATTGATCACACAGGAGAATCTCTTAGACTTCCATGGCACCTTAGGGTGTACAAACTGGTCCCTTCCCCAAGGGCCAAATAATCACTGAATGTTTCCCACAGGAGTAAAAAGCTTAGCAAAATATCTGGGCATTTAGAAAACCTAGTTTTGCATAAGAAACACATTACTATTTTCTCACAAATAGCTTAATCTATCTTCCTTGAGGAATCAAACAACTAAGCTGAAGTCAGGCTAGATACTAAGAAGAAGGTCCCTAGGAAACAAGCAATTCCTTTCCTCCCCAAATACGCTACTCTTGGGATTTCCATCTCATCAAAATGAAATGTACCTGGCTTTTCTTGCTGAAGAGCTGCCAGCCATTGATGTCAAACTCTTTCCTTTTCTTGTCAATGCTTTCTTGCTTTAGGTATTGCCTAAAGGTATCGGGAGAGAATGAGATGAGTGGTGGGGAACACTGAAGACAGCTGCCCCTCCCCAAGAATGGGGCTGACAATCCTTAGGAAGAGTTTTGTCTGCTCTTCTGAGAAAAACACTATATAATGCTGGGCGGGGAATCGTTGGACTGCTACGCTTCCTCCGGGGCTGCGCTTGCCTCTCCCAGCTCCCGAAATTAATGCCCACTCTGTCAATCCAAGAGGAACATGACCTCTGCCCCTAATACTCAAGCTCCTTCTACCTACTGTTGCCCCTGAGGAACAATTTTTAATTCGTTTCCTTGGGTTACATGGTCCTTTAGAACTCAATCAAATGGATGAAAAATGTTTCTGTAGCAATTATCAAGGCTATTTATTTACTATTGTTAGGCTTGGTTCTCCTGTGTGAAAATTCAATCCAAATCAACAATTTATTGAATGCATACTTCCTATAGAGCACTCTTTTTAACTGCAAACTGTTCACCATTCCAGAACCTACTTCACCCTGGCCATTAGAGTGGTACAGAATAGGTGTTTTGGAAAGAGAAACAGGTGGGATATAAAGAGATTTGCATTCTGGTTCCCAGCTGAGCCACTAAATAGTAGGACCTGGGCAAATCAAAGTCACCTCTGTGGGCCTTGGTTTCTTCATCTCAAAAATCAGGAGGTTGGATTAAATGATTTCTAGTTTATCTCTATATAGGCACTCTATATTTTAGTGCACTAGGACAGTATGCCCCCATTAGGGCATATTTTGATATTATTAGTCTAAATATTTTTAAACTTTACTTAGATGTAAAATATCCACTCCTATTTAATATAAAGATTTTCTTTATTAATCACTCCATTGAAGGTATCAGACAACTGAATTCAATTGCTAGAAAAACACAGTGTATACCCAACACCAAACTCTTCTGTCCTCAACTCCATACTTACAAGAGGATCCTGCAGGCTTCATTATTTATACCACCCATAGAGTCGTAATAGATAATATTCTTCTTTCTAAAGTCCACAACCTGGGAATAAGAAAAAAATCTGTGTTTATAAAGTGAAGAAAATTGGTTTCTTAGGCTTTTCCCTCCCCTGGCCCTTGGAACCTTTTCCAGACTTCCTGCGAAACTGTCACAAGTTTGATTGATACTTTGCATTACATTATGCTTAATCTGTAGAGGAAAGAAGAATGAGGGGTTATTTACATAGAACTATGATGGGGGCTAATCAATTGGAGGCCCCATTATTGCCCTGAAACCTTTTTCTAATGTTTAGGTTTTCCCTCTGCAAGGTGGGCAACAGTGAAGAAACAACGTGCTCTTCAGAGAATGTGAATATCTCAAGGTTATTTCCATACAGTTTCAGAGAGATGGTGAAAAGATCCTAGGTTTTGTTTCTTTACTTTGAGAATTTCCTGTTGGCTTTATGCTTTTCAGATGTAATTCAAAATAGACTGTGAAATAACTTTTAAACTTTTATTAACACATTAAGCTAATGCATCCATGCTCTCAGAGAGTCATAAAAAATATTAAATTACCAAGTATGCAAGGCAAGTCATGATTAGACTGAAAATAATAGTCACAGAATCTGAGTTGGCAGCACCATTAAGCAGTCACTTTTTCTCCCCATGCCTTGCCTTGAGGCTGCTTAGACACCCTATAATTCCCTTTTAAATATTTCCAGAAAAGGAAATTCCTTAGCTTTCTTCAAAGTCTAAGTATCTACCATTCTTGATAGGAACTTCATTGATCTATCTGATTTTTAGTGAACCTATTACTCAAACACTACTCTTTCTACTCATCACCCTCTGTGTGTTCTATAATACATAGATTTCTTTTAAATTTTGTCAAATATAAAAGAGGTACTCACAGCTAGACACCAGTGTACTCCCAGGTGAATAGGTACCAAAAGAATGTCGACAGAAAATACATCCACTTTCTTTGTCCAACGTTTCACTGCCTGATAACCTGCCGTTTTTAACTTAGTGAAGAAAAAGGTATTAAATGCATGTACACTTGGTAATCCCTTCTCCTTACTTCGCTCCATCAGCATATTCATGTAGAAATTGATGATCTGTGGGAAGAAATTATACATATTAGAATAGACACTGAGGCCTTTCAAAACAGTTGTGTTATATAAGGGAAAAGCAGTTACTGTACTGAATAGCAGTTGCTGTACTGAACTGTTTCCTAATCAGTTCAATTAAGATTTTAACACCCAAAAGCCTCATGTCCCTATATCAAATTTTGACTAGAAGGGAGAGGGTTGAGGTGGTTGTAAACAGTGAAAAGAAAAAGCTGGTGTATATATATTATGGGGTTGGGGATACAAATGGGCAGATGCTGGCCAGACTTACAGAAGACTGAGGAGAAAGGAGTGTTAGAAGGTGAGGCTTACAGGAAAGGAAAGGAAAGGAAAGGAAGGCATGCAAGTGGTTTAATAAGGCACATTAGTTATTTTAATCTACTGGAGCTGTGTGAGCAATTTAAATTGATCCCGAGCTCAGTTAGAGCCTAATGTTAACCAAGCTAAGATCAAGAGTTCAAACCTTATATGAGGGTCACCTGGTTTTTTGCAAAGATAGAAAACTCTACTCCATGGTTAAAGACTGCCTTTTCAGTCTAATAAGCCATCTTGCAGAGGCAAACTGTTTTGGTCTCAAGTAGAACTAAATGATAGGACAAACTATCACTTGTACTAGAAAAATACTGATAAACTGATAGTAGCTCAGCAATGTCACCTTTTTAGAGGCAGACATGAATGTAGTATAAACACCTACCTACCTTATATGAGACCTAAAACTAAAGTCACAAACATGAAGAGTAAAGTTCTCCCTCATAATCTATATGGCTAGCTTTCTCATCTTTCTTGATTTCATTTATGTTTTCAATATCAAGTGTGAGCAAAAGAAATTAAAATACCTGGGAGGGGAGATATGTGATTATTTCTGTTAATGAAACAATGTCTTCTCTAACAGTGACTATGTTGTCTATGGTTCCATTAGGTCCAGGTACTAAAACTTGAAAGTTATTGTGCCGGAAGTTACTGCATACTTACTTTATGTGGCCAGCTGAGGCCAGGCCAGTGTCTGTCAACTGCAAGGAATGAATGGGCTAACTGATCCACAGCTTGGAAATATGACTAAGAAAACAGGCACATTTTTCAGAATGCTTTTTGGGGAATGGGAAAATGTCCCCATTCTTTGACAAATATTTACACATCAGGATGCCAGAGCAGTGAGCTACTGCCCAAAAGTAGGCAACTACATACTGGATAGGCAGCAGGGAGCACTGCCAGGAACACACCGGAGCATGGTCTAGACCAGAGAAAGGGCCTATAGATGAGGATGCCTAGGCAGCGGCTGGGAAACCACACTCGCCATGAGGCAGAGCTCTGAGGTAGAGGAGGCCAGGACTGAAGAAAGACACTGTTATGCCTGCAGCTCCTATGACTGAACAGCAGGCCCAGAAGATGCAGGTTTGTGGCTAATTCTCTGCCTAGTGTGCTGCCCAACAGCTAACTGGAGCTCAGAGTTCGGTTGTTTAAATAATGATGATAAGACAATTAGAATCGTATATTTCTCAAATCTAGGTTTTCAGTCTAACTTTGCACCTGAGGATAATGGTGCTAAAGGACGCCTCTAGGTTTGAAGGGAGCCACAAATGCAGTAGGATCTGCCCAGTAAGCACAGATTTTTAGGCTGTAAACTATGTTCTCTAATGAGAGATAATCAGAAAGAAGGGATTGATCGATTCCTCTGGCCTTCTACCCATCCCATAATGTTAGCCATGTTATAAGGCTAAACCCTTCAATCCAAGGGGTAAAGTGAATAGGCAGATGACCTGCCAGTCGTTGCAGGCCAAACCTTCCACAGGGGCAGACAGCTTATATATCATAACAGGCAATAAGGACTAAAGGGGGAGGTGAAAGTGATCAGGCAGAGAGATAAGGACAGTGAAGCACATGAAAACCATGGAGATATATCTCCCCTACGGGCCTATCGGAGAGGTATTGCCTCAGGAATCATTAGCCTGAAGTAAAAAAAAAGGATGACATAAACAAGTGTCACAATACACATGACTATTCTCCATCATTAGGAGGAAAGAGTCCCAGAAACCAAAGAAGTTTAGCTGGATTTAGTCCGAGTTTTCTTTGGTTTGTTTTTGTTTTTTTCTGCCTTGAGAGGGTGCACTAGAAAGCTAAACACCAACACAGCTGAATAAGAACAGAGAACTAGAGATCACATGCCATAGTATCTGTTTCCTTCGAGAATCCCTCTTCCATTACTGCCTCCAAGCAAGGTTTTTCCACTGAGAGAGAAATGGCCTCCTCCAAAGTCAACTAGTTAACTAGCTCTAAGGAGTGATCTGGGTTCTTTTTCATTTCCCCTGTATCCCAGTAGGAAGAAGTCTGGTGGCCTCAATGTTCCTTCCCATTAGCTGAGAATGTGTAATCTGAAATCTGAGGCAGAATCTGGACCCAAGTCTCTCCCCTCAGTCTTTTAGCTATTATTCCATCCAAATGAAGAAAATTGCCATAGTTCAGCCAAGACATAATCATATCCCCCAAAAAGCTAGGAGTTAGAGAACAAAAAGAATTCTACATGTCATCTCAGAGGAGGGCTGAAGATGAAGGAAAAAGAAATGAGAGAAAGGATCACAGTGTTCAAGATGAAAGAGAAACAGTGATGGTCACAGCATTTGCTTATATTTTGTGAAGACAAGGGTCCCCCGCCCACCCCCTTGCAAGAGCCTATTCTGCACACAAGACTCTCTTAGCTCTAGCAGATCCTAAATTCCCTTTGAAATAGGGGGCTCAAAGTAGATCAGCCCCGTGCCTACTGCTTGTCTTGCCAATATACCACCATCTGAGGAATACTGCCAATGTGGTCCACTTGTCACCCTTTCTGGGGCCCACACTTGCCTCGGTTTGCTCGCTGTAGCTCTTGGTGCCTAAGGAGCTGCCCTTCCTGCTGCCTTCACAGCCTTGGCCATGAGCGTCTGCTTGTCTATGCAGTCCTGTTTAGGGATGGGAGGGTTGTTTATAGTGTCTTATTCCTTTGTGATTTTATTTGAAGAGCTGCCAGGCTGAAGTTGCAAAAAGCTTCTCTTTAAAAAAAAAAGCCTACAATGTTTACAAACTAAGGATTCAATCCTTTTCCTGTATGTTACCACAATGACATAAATGACCATTGCTATTTGTATCTTCCTTCTTATCCAGTAAACAAGCTAAACTATTGTTTTCTCATGCATTTAGAAATTAAACATTTCACTAACAGTAAAGTCTTGATTTTTAACCCTTCCCAAGTTTACACTTTGAACCCTTCTAATTGGCTTAGGAAAAAATGTTCTAAAAGTCCTGGGCGTGACAATGCTCCTGAGCAGAGACCAAGACAACTTTTATTTTTTATTTTTTTGTTTTGTTTTTTTTTTTTGAGACAGAGTCTCACTCTTTTGCCCGGGCTAGAGTGAGTGCCGTGGCATCAGCCTAGCTCAGAGCAACCTCAAACTCCTGGGCTCAAGTGATCCTTCTGCCTCAGCCTCCCGAGTAGCTGGGATTACAGGCATGCGCCACCATGCCTGGCTAATTTTTTCTATATATTTTTAGTTGTCTGATTAATTTCTTTCTATTTTTAGTAGAGACGGGGTCTCGTTCTTGCTCAGGCTGGTTTCGAACTCCTGAGCTCAAACAATCCGCCCGCCTCAGCCTCCCAGAGTGCTAGGATTACAGGCATGAGCCACCGCGCCCGGCCTGACCAAGACAACTTTTACAGGGACAAAAGCCATTTTTCCAATTTTACCTTTCTAGATTTTCTCCTTGGACTTCCCATTCTCATTTTTAAATTAAATTTACCCTTGTCAACCACAAAGCCTTAAAGACTAACAAAACGGCAGCACTGAATATTACGGTTCAGAAGGTCATTCACTCACAGCATCTGACCTAATAACATGAGGTGAGAAACCAAGGCAGTCTTCCCTCACTGTGAACGACATGCACATGGGATTTTTCTCACATGCAAATTCAAGTAACAAGTTATCAGAATTACTGCTAGTTTTAAAGAAAGACAAGCAAGCAACACCTATGTTTATGGAGTTATTCATGGAGAATAATTACTCTCCGTGTGACCCCACAAAAATCTTTGGTTTATCAGCACTAGTTCGATTAAGAAATACTTCAAAGAGGTAAACAATAACAATGTGGAAGCCAATGAGTCGTGTTAGAAACACTAAAACTTTAATTCTGATGATTTCATTCCACACATAAGAGTGTATAGCACATGGTAGATCCATCACATTCACTTAACTATTTCATTTTGCCTAGTTTTTTCCCTTCTTATGTAGTCAGCTTTTATTCCCTAAGGAAAATCTATTCCCAGTGCTAGGTTTGTCTAATTGAACTTACTGTTTTGCAAGCTGTTCCCTCTCTTTACTGAACATAACTCAGATTTAAGTACTCTTTGGAAATAATTATCAAGCTATGACCACTACCAATTTCTCATTTCCATCAAAGATTTGCGCTAGAAAGTTAGAATGCTAGACAAAAAAGTATGTGCTCTGGTTCCGGATCCTGATTCTGCAATAAAAATCAGGATCAGAATCAGGAAGTACCTTAGTACTTCCTCGTAAAGTCTTACTTCTTATTTTCCCACTACTAATCAAGAATACTTTATACACCAGGATACCGTGACGCTAAATAGACATCTCTTTCCTTCAAAGACTAGGCTTACAAAATAGGTAAGTAGTCTGCCTGGTTAACTGTGGCTTCAGTGTAGTTACAGTCGGCTAGGTAGGTTCTATCTTATTCCTCCTTCACCATCCTCCTGTCCCCCATATTTGCTATGAGTTTCTTCCTCATGGCCTTTCACCAGCCGATGAACTTAGAAATACAAAATACAGAATTCCAACAGTTCAATGCTTTTCCAGTTGGAAACAACTGGTGATAATTAGTATGGGTTTGCAGAGTAGAACCAAAAAAAGAGACATATCTGCTTGCCTTTTTCCCAGTTCATCCACATAAATTAGTAGTAAGGAATGACAGGGAGAACAGGGTCCTGGAGGGAAAATAAAGAGACA